CAATTGGGATAAAAACTTGGTAAGGAAAAAAGAGTGCAATCATTGTGGGACGAATTACAAATTTGATGAACTTACAAAGTCTATACAAGATTACAATAAACACTATACAAATTAGAAATTACAAAGTAAATAAATATTTACAAAGAAATTATCAAGATGAAGCAGAATGATCATCTTGAAAATTAAAAGTTAATCTATTAAATTCGTCGATCCATTCTTGATTTGCGGGTGAGATTGTATCGTGTAAGCGTTGGTCGGAACGGTCCCAATCCTTGATGCACACCAAAGCTTCAACAATATCCTGCTGCAATGCGTTTCTCCGTTCTTCAAGTATTCGGCCGGTTGTACTGAATGCTTGTTCGGCTGCAATGGTGGAGACCGGGATTGAAAAAATATCCATTGCCAGTCGTGTTAGGATCGGCCAAGTTAATGCTCGTGCCCTCCACCCCTCAACCAAATCAAACATTTCACTACTGTCTATAACTAAGCCCTCACTCAGGTACGTCATTAACTCGTTGAATCCGCCGCCACCTCTTGATGAAGATCCACTCTCAGATTCTTCTTCTTCTTGACCTTGACTCGTCGTCGTCGTCTTCTTCTTCTTCTTAGACAACCCGAAAACATTCAAGAATGAATGCAGATTATCGTCTCGTTGTTGCGGTTGTTCAACACGAGGTGTGTTTCTAAACCTACTTTCATAAGAGATATATAGAGAATATAATTTTTCCTTTATAATATGAAATTGGTCAGTAGTGTCTGTAGCTAAAAATTCACCTAAGTTATCTAATCCACTTTCTAAATCTTCTAATTTTAATCTAGGGTCAAAAATAACACCGAAACCGTACAACATGGGTAATTTAGACCAATATTTTTTAAATTTCTTTTCCATAGAGGCAATAGGAACTCCTAAAACCTCGTGTGTCCTAAATTCACTAAATAAAATATACATTCTTAAAAGTTCTCCTAATGCTAATGGTGAAGTTAGGTAATAAGTTCCACTAAGCTTTAAGGTAACTTCGTGAAATCTACCTAAAAAGTTATACAAAAGTTCGGCAATTTGCCAATCAGTTTCATCTATAAATCCTGTTCCTAATTTTGCACTAACATAATTTGTTATAGCATCTTTATAGGGGATGCATTGTTCAAGCATTATGTAAGTGGAGTTCCATCTTATGGGCATATCTAAGGCTAATGCTCTAGGATTTTGATTACATGCTTGTAGAAATCTAAACCAATCTTGTATTCTTTGATTACTACCTTGAATCCAAGCAATGTTATCTCTAATTCTTTTAATATGACCTGACATTGATTTTAAACCGGACTTTACTATTAAATTAATTATATGACATGTACAACGTTGGTGGAAAATATCATTATTACCGAATAAACTTAAATCATTTTCAAAAAGTTCTATTACTTTAGTATTCGCAGTTGCATTATCTAATGTTATGACCATTATTCTATCTCTTAAACTATATTCATCAATAACAGATAAAATTGTGTTATATATTAAATTGGCAGTATGTGATCCTATAACACATTTGAAACCTAAGATTCTCTCATCCAAATCAAAACCTTTATAATAATGTCCGGTTATAGCTAAATAATCCTTGTTGGCAACGGCAGACTAAATATCCACTGTTAACGCAACGCAACCACTAGTAGAGTATAGAAGGTTGATTAATGCTTTCTTTTCTTATTTATATAATTTTAATGCATCTTTTCTAAGAGTAGTTCTAGAAAAAAATTGTACATTAGGATTATGTATAATTTTAATATAATGTTGCCAATTTCTTTGTTTAGGAAAACTTAGTGGTTGATCTAATGTGGCTATTAATCGTGCCATTTCCATACGATCAACTTGCAGATCGTATTTCCACGTGCTTAGACCGCCGGTTTGGCGGTCAAACGATAATTGCGTTTGGCGGAGATCAGCTCCGCCTCTTTACTTTTGAAGACACTTTTCAGAGTGCCTTCTTAAGTGTGTAGTGCCGTGAATAGTGTTACCTTGTAATTTCTCACCACAATATTTACATTGAGCTACGTATTTAATGTTACCGTTATTGTCGACGTCCTCGAATGTGTTGAAGTGCTCCCAAACTGCTGAGGTGCGCTTGCATTTCTTCTTAGAACTTGCAACACTTGCACTAGCACTACCGCTTGGATCTCCTTCACGGCCACTTGTGCCACCAGCATTGCGTCCCCGACCTCTAGTACGTCCACCAGGGGTCAAATTTGCAGTTTCATCAACAACTCTTTCCATAGTTTGCGATTCCTGCGTTTGAAAAATATTAGAAAATTGCCCTTCTTCGATGTTGAATTGGGCATCAATGGGAATATCATCACCATAACCAGAAGAAGCCATTATGAAAAATAAGAGAGATTAAGACCGCTTTGAGAGAGCTTAAGAGAGATCGAGATTCGAGAGAGATTTAAGCGAGATTAAGAGAAATTTGAGAGAGATTAAGAGAAATTGAGAGAGATTAAGAGAAATTGAGAGAGAATGAGAGTTTTGGGGTGAGGAAAATGGTTGGGGGGAGGGGGGGTATTTATAGGAAAATTTTTGGGTTGAAAAATAAAAAAATTTCCCCAAAAATTCGGGTCCAACGACTACAAAATTTTCGGGCAGTTCGGGCAAAATTCGGGCAGGTTGGGCAACGGTACAAAATCCGACTGTTGGGTTCAAAAATTCGGGAAAAATTTTGGTTCGGGCAAAAAAGACCGTTTGTTCAAAATTCAGGCATTTTTTTGGGCTAACGGTAAAAAGAAATCGGGCATTTTTCGGGCACGGGCAAAAATCGGGCAACGGTCACAAAAAATTCGTGCAGTTCGGGCACAAATTCGGGCAGTTTTCGGGCAGCTTTGGGTATTGCTGGAAAATTTAAAAAAAATCCGCTAATGGCGGGGGACGACTTCTCCACGACGGCGGGCTGTCGGGGGGATTAATATTTTTGGGCTACCCAAGCCCGTACCCGAAGAAAACCGTGGTCGGGCGGCGAGAGTGGCCTACCCACCGTGCCCAAAAATTTTCGGGCATCGGGCATGCCCGCCGCCTGAAAGTTCAGCACTGAATTAGTAATAAAGAGAAAATTTTACATAAAATGTAACTCTTTTTGTAAAATCTTAAATTATCAGGTGATGGACACATGTTTATTTTTGTTAAATTTCAGAAATTATTCATCAATTTTACTGTGAAGAATAAAAATTGTCAAAAAAATGAAAGTGTAGGGACTAAATATGCTCAAATTAAAGTTCAGGATCAAAATATCATTATGCTCAAAGTTCAGAAACTAACAATTATTAACCTAACATGGCAAATTCTTCCTCGCTCTCAGCGCAAGTGTCACCTCTTCTTTTGCTCTCAACTTTCGCAGCCATTGTCTTCTTATATTGCCTTTTACAGTCACGTAACTCACAAGTGATTAAAACGGTTAAAAACCAATCAGAAGTACCCATTCATTTCGCTTATTCGAGTTTTGCTACAGTAAAAAGCTCTCACAAACAGTCACATCTAAATTTTTTGTTACAGTAAAAAATTTTCATATAAAATCACATCTCAACTCGAATCAGCGAACTAAATGGGCCCTAAATTTACATATTATTACAAACTCAGGGGCAGTTTTGTATCATTTTAAATTGGTATAGGTGTCAAAGTGAAACAACAGTTATTCTTCGGGGCCAAAGTTTAAAAATGAACACAAACAACCAAAAACCCTCTGGCTTTAATTTACAACTCCCTCTATGTTCGGAAAATAGGAAAGACTCAGAGAGACCAAAACATAAAACAAGAAGAAAGAAGAAGAAGAAGAAGAGACTAATAATGGGGGAGAAAGCCAAGAGCTTGGCGTTGGTCGGAGCCGGAGCTCTTCTGGGCTCTGTTTCTACCATTTTTCTTCTCAAGCTTCTTTCAAGGTTACTTCTTTTTCGATTCCAATCAACACCTCAAAAATTTATCATTTGTTATTGTTTTTCTTTCTTTCTGGAAAACTCGAATGTTGTTATTATGGGTCGTCTTTTTTTTTTTTTTTTTTTTTTTTTTTAAATTTTTTTTGGGTTTTTCTTTTTTTTTTGGGTGTTTTTTTTTTTTTTTTTTTTTTTTTTTTTTATAAATTTTTTGGGTTTGCTTATCAACGTAATGGTATTGGTTTTTCTGTGTTTGTTTTGCAGAAAGATGGCCATCCAACGCGCTGTTGAGTTGAATTGTAAGTGACCCATCTCATATAACTTCACTATTTTTTCAGATAACTCTGCTTGATTTGCTATATAGCAACGAATGTATGGAAATCTTTCGTAAGTCGGACTAAGGGCCTGTTTGGCAGAGCTCTAAGAAGCCATTATTGGGATAAAAAAAGTATGCAACATTGTAATGTAGAACCGAGATGCAAGAGAAAAGATGTAGAATTGAGCAGAGAAATAGAACTACTAGAGATTAGAGAGACCAAAGAAAGAGCAAAGAGTGAATTCTAGAGACAGATTGAGAACTCAAAGTAGGGAATATAAAGCCCCAATATTCAATACACATTCACCAAGTATGTAATTCAATTACAAACTACCCAGGGAACTAAGTCAAAACAAAATATGGAAACTAGTAACTTAAATTGATACTTGGAAACTATTCTTAATCTTAATAGCAAAATAACATAAATCCCTAGTTAAATCAAGACCACATATTAAGTGAAATACTATTCTGATCTCCATCACATTAGATATGAGATTGCTACTCTTGGTTTTTATCACCACGGCCTGGTTTTAGTTTGTGACTTCATCTACCACTTAAAACTCTGAAACCAACTTTCAAGCTATAGAGTTTTTGCTGGAAGATTTACAGAACGGTGGTTGTTTTATGATTCTTGTTCCTCTTAAGGTAAAGACCTTCCTGTGACGAATACAAAATGCCATGAAGTTGGTGAGGGTCGAAAGTATGGGATGGCAGGTGTTGACCTGCTAAGCGATGAGATTGTCTCCGAACAATTAACCAGGTACCTTTTTCTGTTATTTTCTTTTCTTTTTTCTTTTTTTTTTTTTCCAGAAATTAACTTAGTGAGTAATGTGGAAATGCTTTTGAATGATTCAAGTTGGAGCAGTGAAATCTAAGCAGCTCCATGTTAAAGTATTTAATTAGTATCTTGAGGGTATGAAGTTATTTGACATTATGTGTGTTTGTCTTTCTGGCTTGATTAGGAATATCCAGTTTTTTGGGATTGAGTCTCAAAAGAAGGTGACTGGGTCTTACGTCGTGGTCATTGGCCTTGGAGGCGTGGGAAGTCATGCAGCCTCTATGCTTTTGCGATCAGGTGTTGGCAGACTTCTCCTTGTGGATTTTGACCAGGTACCTTCAGAATGCTTACAAGTTTGTTTGGCACGTTATTTTTCATTTTATTTTGTTCATTTCAATACTAAATATTGTATTACCCAGGTTCATTATTTCATTGTATTCATTTTCTTCCTGCTCCTTTTTGGATTCTTTACCTCTCTGCAACAGTTTTGGTTTTAAAATTTTGTAATGTTTAGGTGCTATGTTTGAGTTGCCATCTTTTTGTTGTGGTACATCAGGGATTACCATACCAAACTTTTCATTGTTAAAGATCCAGGTTATTTTTTGTTGTGTCAATAAAGATTTTTTTTTAGTTGTGCCTTACTATGCGTTTAGTCGCTGTGATATCTTTCTTTTATGCATTTTTTTTTTCATTGATTATTGGAAGTTGATGTTGCGCACCAGAAAACCTGCCTACAAAATCCAGTGTGGTGGACTTTCTAAATTTTAACAAGGACCAATTCTTGTCTAAAAAAACACGTTTTCAAACTGTAGCAGTAACTGATTGTACCATCTAAGTCTGTTTTTGAGGGCTAATTGGGGGACAAAAAAGTTCTGGGAAATTGTTCAAGTCTGGTGCTGCACCTTTTTCTTGTATTTGCCTTGAATAAATAAAAGTGTAACAAATTTATGTGTTTTCTTACGACTTTCAAAACCATTTTTAATCATTAGTTTCTTTGATACTGCGTGCTCTCCTTGAGTTGGCCTCAATTGCACCATTTTACCATTTTAATTACAAGGAGACAGTCTCAAGACATGGTTCTTTTAGAAACGACCAGGAATTAATTTGTGAAACTTTTATATCTTTGTTGATTGTATGAGAAGGTGTCTCTTTCGTCACTAAACCGGCATGCTGTTGCAACGAGATCAGATGTTGGTATTCCGAAAGCCCAGTGCCTTAAAGAGCATTTCATGTCAATTTTCCCAGAGTGCCATATAGAAGCTAAAGTTCTATTATATGATGCATCCTCTGAAGACGAAGTTCTTTCCGGTCAGCCGGATTTTGTTTTGGATTGCATCGATAACATCGATACAAAGGTACATTTTCTTGTCAATAACTTGGGTTGCTTTTCTATTATCATTCATTTTTTTCTTATTGAAATTAGATAACTGTTAAACAATACTGTGGAATCACAACTCACTATTATCATTGTTAACGGCATTGTTTTTTAGGGTTTCAAACCAAACCATTTTCACGTATTGTTAAATCCTTCCAGTTTATTTAGAAAGCTTATCCTACTAAATTTGAAGCGTGTGGTTGCTATTAGATCTTGATAAGGTGGATATTTTCGATATGTAATAGAGGAGGGAATTATGACTGAGATTGTGGCAGAGTTGCAGAGGGAGTTGACACTGGTTTGGATGATTTTTAGAAGATGTTTTGCTTTTTATGCTTGATAGTTTTTACCGATTACGATGGTGAGTAAGATTTAAGTGGAAAAAAAGCTGTAATGACTTGTGAGCTTTATGGCTAGACAGAGACAAAATATGAGGTTTTGATGGGCTATAAGGAAATACCGATTCCCTTTTTGGGTTGGTTCTAGAAGAAATTCAACAATTACTCTGGCTATAGTTTCGTTGGATTGCATTCATTTAATTTACTAATTTCTGTTTTCCTCCACTTTTTATCTTCTGTTGCTTGTAAAGCTTGTTGATTGTTTGTAGATAAGATCTTGTCTTCTGGTTTTGTATTTTTTTTATTTTAATTAATCTCTATTGTTTCTCATGAAAGAATATGAATTGCTATATTTATTGTCAAAATCGGGACGTGTCATATGTAATAGGTCGCACTTCTTGCAGCATGTGTGCGTAGAGGTTTGAAGGTTTTATCAGCAACTGGAGCTGGCGCCAGAGCTGATCCAACAAGAATACGTGTTGCTGATTTAAGGGAATCAACAAACGACCCGCTATCTCGAGCTGTAATGTTTCTCGCCTGTTTCAATTAATACTTCTTTTTAGTTGCTTTTATCTAATGCCGTTTCTTTTGCTATGAATTAATTCATTATAGTTGATTGCATTTGTTTTGCCTTTGGCCTTTAGGTGTGTATTATAATGTTAAATGATTTGATTCTTTACATTAAAAAACGAAATAGGAAATGGACTCAGATATTTGTACCAACTTAAGGTGCTCTTGGGGCATTACCGTTTTAGTTATATTATGACATTTCAACCTTTTCTCTTTTCCAGCTAAGCATTCACTCAATTAAGTCTGTCAACGCCTTTTGAAGTCACAATGTATAAGAACGTAGAATTGGGAAATTAGAAAAGAAATACCGTGCCATCTGATGCGGTGCAGAAGGAACTAGCCTTTTTGGTGCTTTGGGAACATCCCAAAGCCAAATATGGCAAATATTTTCGGTTTCATAAGGTCTTTTGACGATGTTAGATTTGGACCAAAAATATGTGTTTTCTAAGTGGAAACGGGCCAACGGATAAGACTCGTCGCTTCACCACGAGGTGTCACGTTTTTCGGGCAAATTCTTTCGTTTAGGCCTCCAAAAGGGCTTTTTTTTTTTTTTCCATTTTTAGTAATTTATGTTTTTGTAATAAGTTGACCTAGGAAATTTGGATTCCAGTTCCGATTCGTTTCCTTTTTCCTTGCGTCTAGTAGTTTCAGATTTAGTTTCCAGTTCAAAAATTTCCCTTTTTTTGTTGTTGAAAATTTCATATTTTTTTATTATTTTAATTATAAAATATGTTAGTTTCCTGTTTCTGTTTTGCCTATTTATATGGGCGCCCTCTTTTAATAAAAACCAGTTCAGTTGAATAAAAATTTCAGAGTTTTTCTCGAATTTTCTCTCTTCCCAAATTCCGGTATTCTTTGTGAATCAATGGTCTTTGAAGCAATTTTCATGGTATTATGTGTGAATCAACAGGTTAATTGGTTACCCTTTTATTTTATTATTTCGTTTTTTCTTTAATCAAGCTTCCACTACACGTCTCTATAATGATAATCAGGCACTAGTTACAGTAGCATCATATTTCCGAGAGAAACAGACCATTGCTTTTTAGACAAAACTCATCAGAATCATGGAACCACTTTGGACCATTTTAAACACTTCAATGTCTTCAACCATGAGTGAGTGATATCATCAGCCAAATACCTGCTTCTGGCTTTTTTTCACTCTAGTAATGCCTGGGTAGTTTTTACTCACAAATCCATCTTATATATGCTTGAGAAAACGAAAATTTAATTACCTTGAACAGCAAACATATGTATCTGCCCAAAAAAAAAAGAATAATAATAAAAAATAAAAAATATAAAAAGAAAAAACTTTGATTAGTGGAACTTCAAATGGTGTAATTGGTTTGGTTGCATGTAAAACTGTTGGAATTTTAGTAACACATTTTTTAATCCGAGAAGAAAGTCATGTTAAAACTAGTTTGCACATTCTATTATATGCGAACCAATTTTGTTTACATAATTGGTTTTTGTAAATTGTCATTTCCAACTTTCAGGTAAGACACCGGTTGAGGAGAGATTATGGGATTGAAGGTGGCATACCTGTTGTGTTTTCTCTAGAGAAACCAAAGGCAAAGCTTCTTCCGTTCAAGGGACCAAGTGGAGAAGAAGAAAATCCTTCAGATTATCAGGTTCACGCATTACTTGCTAATCTGAAATATATGCTATTACTTTCAATCACTAATATATTTTGCCTGCAAGGGCCAGTACGTCATGCTAAAATTATAAAATTTATTGTTCTAAATTTTGATAATTTCAGTTACGCTTCTTCTCAAGGCATTGAGCCGATGATTATGCAATTGAACTTGTGGAATTTTTAAATAGATTTTTGCTCACAACTGTTTCTCTTCTGTAACATGTTTTGACAACCTTTTTTTTTTTAGTGCTATTTTTTTTATATAATTGTAGGTTATGAATAACATATATACCAAAAGTGCAACTACGATATACATTTGAGTTTTTGTCCTATGGTGCTTTTGTTATTTAATGTTATTAACATTTCATTTCTGCATCTCAGATAGTACCGGGTTTTAGGGTTCGGATCATACCTGTCCTAGGGACAATCCCAGCAATTTTTGGACAGGTTATGGCATCCTACGTTGTGTCACAGTTGGCAGAATTGCAAGTTCGGACAGAACCTGTGGTAAATTTAGATTTGGATCATTATCAGATTCTGCATCAACGCCTTGTTGAGCATGAAGAGTCAATATACGGCACGGCCATGCAAGTCCAGGTATGAGACTGCCAAAAACATCTATTAGTTCAATATTCTCTTTTTCATAAACCTTTCTGTTTGTTGTTGGGGGCACATACGGCCTTCGCAAGACTTAACTGAACTCAACAAGTTTAGTTCTCTTCAGTTTTTGGTGTTACATCCGACGAAACTAGTTAGTTCAGTTTTCACTATTTTATCCCATGTGCTTATGGTAATTGCATTGATGATACTACCTAATATGTATAGGTGCTTTAACAGTATTATTTTAAATATAGATATAGTAAAAATTAAATATTCATCTCTCCAATCTAACTTTTCTGTTTTCTGGTTCTTTTTTATGTTCATGTTCATTTTTTTTTTTTTAAATTTCTTGCAGGTGGACGTTGATGAAGTGATGTATATTGCAAAAGAGTTGTGGCATGGACGGAGTGCGAAAGAGGCATCTGCAAAAGATGTTGGACGTGGAATGTGGCGTTCCGTTAATGAGTTGATGCTTGTGAGGTATGGTGCTTTTACCAAGACTCAATTCGAGCACGCTTGCAAGATATAGGTTTTTTTTAGTTGATATACTTGCAGCATTTTTCACTGATGAAAAACTAGTCCTAGCAAATGTTATCTGCTAGGCAACTGCTTTTGCCTTTTAGCTTTATTCAGAGCCATTACTTGTTAGCTTCGAGTCGTGACATATTGACCAAATCTTAGTCTCCTTTATTGTTGACCATGTAGATTTATTATGCAATTACACCTCTGGAACACTGATCTTTTCCATGACATAAAACTAATCATCCTAGATAACTTCATTTTTTTTTGTGTCAACTGCAGTCCTCTTTTTCTTGTCAACTACAGTATTGTGTTTGATTGCTTCCTACACATTGCTGGTATTTCGGAGTTAAATTCTTGCTGCTTGAATTGTGTATTAAACCACTAGGCATTTTTATGTCTCATTATTGTATGAAGTGAAGTTATGTTTACTCGCATGCTTGTTCTTTTTGTCCATCTTTTTTTTTTTTTTCTCCCTGTTTTTCAGGTGGAATAAGGAAAAACCAGCATCTGTCTCCAACTTGGTTCTTTTAAAATTTAAAGAGGTAAATGTAGAAGCCAATGTGATATATATTTATTCTTGTCAATTGAAATCCAAGTTTATTACTTTTCTTACATGAAGATCGTGAAAAGAGTTTTTAAGGCCATAATTAATGATCAAAACTCAAAAAGGATCAGCAGCAAAAATATGTTTTTGTGAAGCAAGTTAATGTCATTTTGCTTTTAGATAGATACTGGCAAAGATTTCCAAGGTCATTATTTGGATGTCTGTTCAAATCTTGTTTTCTCTTCTTGAATGAATGTTTGGTTTATAACATTTTTGCGTGTTTTTCTATTCTTTTATCTATCATTCCTTCTCCCTTCTATCCAGGCGAACGAACACGAATCAAGGACACTTGATGATATCAAGGAAAAAGAACCAGAGTTTTTTGATAGAGTGACGGCCATTTTGAAGCGAGCTGAATTAGAATTTGCAGAACTTCAGTGAACTTTATTATTTTTATATTTGTTTCAATTTTGTTTTGGTTTTCATTTCCTTTTTGTTTCGTTTTGCCTCAAGTATTTTATGGAAGGGCGCCTGAGTTCTAAGTTCATCTCTGTTATAGGCTTTAGCTCTAAGAAATTAGTTCTTGTGCTGCATTGTTGTCTCTCTCTGCATGCATTTGACTCGATTTACTTCCGGATTATGTGACATGCAATCAATGGACACACATCAATTTATGTTTAGATGCGTATGGAATATTCTTGTCTCTGGCAATGTAGGGGCTTGAGTAAGGGTGACAATTCGTATTAGTGGGTCGTGTTCGTGTCAACCCGTTTATTAACCGTGTTAAAAAAAACTAACCTAAATATAACATATTTATTAAACGTGTTAAAAATATCAACCAAAATATAATCTATTTATTAATTGTGTTAATTGTGTCGACTCGCATAACATATTTAAATTAATATATTGAATAAATAACTAATATAATAATGACTTATTTAACACGGTTAAGACAGATTTAATATGTTTATTGGTTGATTTATCTTTATTTAAGAAAAATAAATGAATTTTATCTATAAATATTAAAATTCACATTATTTGTATAAGCTTTTATGTTATATCATATATTATTAGATTACAAATGACACATAAATTCGTCAATATTTTAGTCGTTGCCTTCGTTGAAATTAAGCATTGACCGGTTTAGAATATTAATTTGATACATAATTATCTTGGCATACAATTGACGAAGTCCAAAATAGTTCTTCAATCTATGTTTAAAAATAGGAGAAATCGTACGAAATAGGGCTACATGTAAAATTTATGGAAGTAAATAACCAATTTATTAAGTATAGAATTATATAGAAATTAATAGATCATTTTATGTTTTTTATTTTTAATTTTTAATTTTTTAATTTTATCCGGTTTTGTTATTTTTTTCTTCCTCTTAGTAAATATAGATATATTCAAGATTTATCAAGTTAAAATCACTTAAAAAATTACAAATTCTAATGGTAAATTTTAGATATACCACGTAAATTTAAGATTTATCAGTTTCATATTACTAGGGAAAATATGTATAAATTCTAATGGTAAATCTCAACCTAGATTTACTAAGTTCATATTAGTACGAAAAAATGAAAAATCTAATGGTAAATTCCGGATCTACTTGGTAGATTTTAGATTTACCAAGTTCATATTATTAGGGAGAAAGAACACTATAAATTATAATGGTAAAATCTAGATATACCTGATAAATCCCGGATATAGGTGATTTACCAAGTTTGTATTAGTATGAAAGAAGTGAAAAATCTAATGGTAAATTCAGGATATATATGTTAAATCCTGGATTTACCAAGTTCGTATTACTAAGGAAAAAGAACACTGCAAGTTCTAATGGTAAATCCCGGATTTATAGGATTTACCAAGTTTGTATTAGTAGGGAAAAAGTGAAAGTTCTAATAGTAAATCCTAGATATACCTGGTAAATTTTAGATTTATCAAGTTTGTATTACTAGTGAAAAAATGAAAATTCTAATGGTAAATCCCATATATACTGGGTAAATCTTGAATTTACTAAGTTTGTATTAGTAGGGAGAAAAAACACTATAAATTTTAATAGTAAATCTCAGATTTAACAAGTTTGCCTTAGTAGAAAAAAGTGAAAATTCTAATAGTCAATCCTGAATATACTTGATAAATTCTGAATTTACTAAGTTTGTATTAGTAGGGAAAAACGAAAAGTCTAATGATAAATCACGAATATAAATGGTAAATTCAAGATTTATTAAGAGAGTATTATTGGAACTCCAGTTAATTATAAATCCAAATTTACATCACATTGCCAATTTATTAAATTTTCTTAAACATTAACATATTAATTTTAACTCTTCTCAGGCCTATTTCTCTCAATTTTCATGTAAATTTTTCATTTAGGAATAATGCATTTATCCATATATTTTACCTATCGTTATAAAAATTCCCCCCTTTAACTTGAAAATGTTGAATATTCAAAATAGATTAAATGCCCTTTGTAATATTCAAATAAAAATTCCTTTACAATGTTTTTTGAAATGAAATTAAATTCGCACCACCCTAGCCCAATATTATTAAAAGTACATGATATTAGTGAGGTGTTTTGCTGATTTTATTTTTATTATTTAGAGTTTAGATTTTTTATTTAATTTTTAATGAATGTTTGGTTCATAGATTCAGAATCATGATTCAGAATTATTTTTAATTTACGTGTATTTTTTATAAAAAAAAATACTGTAATAAATCACAAATCATAATTCAAATCAAAATATGAATCCACTAACCAATTATATTTAACTAATTAAATCATACCAAAATATTTCGTAATAAACACAAAAAAATTAATTAAAAAGCAGTTTAAATTTTTATTTATTTAACCAAGGAGGATCAGATTGGAAGTTGGCGGCAGAAAGAGATTACCGTTCACGTGGGTCCCACTAGTTGGAACACAAGAACGCCCATAATTTATGTGATTATGTGGTCTGTGTGGACGGTGGAGAAGGTCGAAGCGTGGAACCAGAAACCAGCAAACGAGACAACAATGGCAAAATCTATTATTATGACGCATAACAAGAAAAAGAAAAAATGCTCGAAATCAACGACCCTTTCACGAATTTCAAACTCCCCCTGTTACAGATGCGGATGCCCTTCCTTACGCGCAAACTCCAATCTTCCTCTTCTGTATGTTTTCCAACCGAATTACTCTCTTTAACTTATTCATTTTTATTTTGGCATAATTGAATTGATATATATATATATATAAGGAACAAGCTTTCAAATCTAATGAAGTTGAGTCGCCAAAGCCTCGACATTTTTGTTTTTAAGTTTCTTGCGCACAAACCTAATGAAATTGTTTGTTTGTTTTTTGCTTCATTATTATTAATTCTTATGTAATAATTGAATGTTTTAGAGTAACCCCATTTCTGCTGAATCAGGTCCCTTGTTATCAAATGCTTGACTTTCACTTTGCTTTCTGCATAATTCAAGCCAAAACTTTTATTTATTTGTTTGTTTCTTAATTTTTTAGTTATATAATTAAGTCACTTGCATTTGACTGACCATTTTTCTGTACCAGTGTCACATATTTCCTCTTAAAGACTTCCATTTGCAGAGCAAGTTTTGAATATGAAATGAGATAATGGTTAAACCTGAATATGCAAATAACATTCAAGGATATTACAGAAGAAGTTCTTTTAGCATTTTCGTTCAAGAATATTATGAATGTGGAAAAAGCTGTCCAGAAATATTTAATGCCATTTTTTTTTTCCCGAAATTATGAAATTATAGATTGGCTCAAATTGGAATGTGTTGATTGCGGGACGAAGAGTCATTCCTCCTTTGCAGGGATTTTTGAGGTCGGTACAAACGTTGTGTCGAATTTCAGTCCCTGGAAACTCATTCCAACAAGGGGAAAACGTAGCTTCAGACTTTTTGAGTCAGAAGAAAATAATTCCTGATGCAGAACCTCCTAGCCTGCGAGATGTCGAACTGTTGTATCAATTTTTTGACAACAGGTGGTCATCATTGTATCCCTATTTATCTTACGTGCATTTTAGTATCATTATCAATATTGCATTCAAGTTACCTTCCAGAATGAACGATACAGATTGTGTAAGCATGTCTTTTATAGGATTCATGGAATTTGTTGGATTGGTGTATTGATTTCCTTAAATAAAGTTTAAATATAAGAAAGTTATTTCCTAACTTATTTTCCTGCTTTGCAGTAAAAAACTCGTGGTGTTGACTGGGGCTGGAATAAGCACAGAATGTGGAATTCCTGACTATAGAAGGTTATTCTATCTCACTGATATTGCAACCACCTATGCAGTATGAGATAGCAAGTAGTTATCAAAATTTTGAATTTGGGATTATACTAGAAACTAGTTATCAAAATTTTGAATTTGGGATTATACTAGAAACTAAGGTTATTTGTATATATTGTCCAAGTCTTTTACTCAAGTTGGAATTTCTTAAAAGTTGCTTCTTAATAAGGAAGCTTGGTTTGTTAAACATTTGGGGACCCTTGGTTCGTTAAATGTTTTATGAAAGTACTCACTAACTAAGCGGTAGTCATTTGCTTTTAGTTTGAATTTTTACCCTTTCATTCTGATAAAACTACAAAAGAAGAAATTACTCTCTTCAATGAAATCCTGCTAAACAAGAAACCAGATCCAATGTTACCCCACCTCCCCCACCTCTCTTTTTATTAATTTTTTTTAAGTTGGTGAATATATTTCTGTCTCTTTATGCTTTTAATTGGCCATGCTCTCTGGTATCCAAATATTGGTCGTGTTACTTAAGTTGCATTGGCTTTTGACGAATTTTATTTATTTTTTATTGTTGTTGAATATGCAGTCCAAATGGAGCTTATAGTTCTGGCTTCAAACCAATTACTCATCAGGTGAACTGAAGGCATGTACTGTGTATCTATCAAGCTTCCTTTGTTTAGATATAGCCCATTTACACATGATAATGTTTAGGATTCCTTGTGTTTCTTATCGAGAAAAAAAAGAAAAAAAGTTTAGGTTCTGTGGAAAGAGTCAGGTCAAAAGGGTAGAGACTAGACATGTGGTTCTCAACAAAGGAAGAAAAAGACGCTACTATGATTGAACAGAAGTAATATAATGTGAGATAATATTTGACATGTTAACAAGTTGAAGAAGATACTGTCACCTGTTTATGCTAATAATAGTTATGGGTTTTAGTTTATGCCGTTTTTCTGTAGTTTTCCTTCCATCAAGATTCTGCAAAAAGATAAATAGTTTAAGTTGGATGAAAAAGAAATTCTCTTCATATTTACAAATAGCTGTCTTTACATGATTAAAATGTTTTAATCTTGGTTCTTCTCTTGCCTGATTCATTGGACAGGAGTTTCTCCGTTCCATTCGAGCTCGCAGGCGATATTGGGCAAGAAGTTATGCTGGCTGGAGGCGATTCACAGCAGCACAGCCCGGTGCTGCTCATATTGCTTTAGCATCTCTTGAAAAAGCCGGTCGTATAAACTTTATGATCACACAGAATGTTGACAGGTAATTAGCAAATTTCTATGCTTTAGCATTCATTGGGAAAAATGAAGATGTTCACATAAACTCTAATAAGTCTAATTTCTCTTTATCTTGTTCTAGGCTGCATCACCGTGCTGGTAGCAACCCACTTGAATTACATGGGACTGTCTACTCTGTTGTTTGTTTGGATTGCGGTTTTTCTTTCAGTCGGAATCTCTTTCAGAACCAAGTAAAGGCCCTTAATCCAAAGGTTGGTTTTTCTTTTCCGTCAATGAATTCATTTCAGTCATCTATTGAATGACCTTTGTTTCAGAGGGTCTTCAAGGATATGGCAGTTTAGATGCGTAGAATAGTACAGTATTCTGAATCTAGGCTGACCATATAGCCGAAAGGCTAACATTTTTGGCTTACACCAAAACAAGGGTAGAGTTTCACTTGGGGGGCTGCCTGGGGCTCTGAGCAGTAGCCTGAGGATAGTAGACAACAATATTGCAGAATTCGGTATTAGTTTATGAAACTGTTCTGAGTTTTACGTGTGCTTTCCATTCAACTGAAAATGCTAGTTAGTTTGAAATGAGCTCTTGATCATAAGGCACGTGCAAAGTTTATTTCAGAATGACTATCTTGTTTTGTTCCTTCAAATTCCGTGCATTGCATTCAATCATCAGAACCCAACAAAGTAGCTAGAAGTCCTCTAGTCTCATCTTTTTTAACATATTTTACATTCCGTAACTCTATGTGTCATATTGTCCTGTAGGCTTGTTTTGTTTTTTGTGTACATTCTTCTTTTGTTCTGTTAGCAACATTTTTATTAGAAACGTTGGTCTGGTAGAAATTCTAAATCATGTAGGGCACTAGATTTTGCATTTTGAATATTATACTTGCAGTAGATGCGTGATGACTAAGTTTGGTTTTTTCCCCCCCACTGCAGTGGGCAGCAGCAATAGAGAGTTTGGAGTGTGGCGGCATCCCTGGATCAGACAAGAGCTTTGGCATGAAGCAAAGGCCTGATGGCGACGTGGAGATAGATGAAAAATTTTGGGAGGAAGATTTTCACATACCCACTTGCCAAAAGTGCAATGGAGTGCTTAAACCTGATGTGAGACATGACTCGTCAAAAGCTTTACTTTTCTGATCACTACTATTCACGGTGCTACTTATATTTTTCAAGTTTTCAAGTTACTTTTTCCTGCTAGTTGCTTGACATGAATGATACTGAGAGATGACCCCAAGTAAGGGAAACAAAAAAAAAAATGGAAACAAAGGAATCTTCTTGTTTTTAGCATCCATGTATCATTCTTCCCCTTTCGTTCCTCCTTAACTAGCCCAAAATTGTGTTCTTGTTTATTATTGTTGTTGTTGTTGTTGTTATTATTATGATTATACTCATTATTATTATTATTATTACTTATTTACTTATTATTATTATTATTATTTTTTTTTTTTTTTCTTTTTATGCACAAGGATTGATCTGAGATAAAACTTATTGCTGAGATGCCTTTCTGTGATTGATGACTTTGAAGGTCATCTTCTTTGGTGATAATGTCCCAAAGGAGAGAGCTGATATGTCAATTGAGGCTGCAAAGGAATGCGATGCTTTTCTTGTACTTGGTTCGTCTGTAATGACCATGTCTGCATATCGCCTTGTTAGGTGCATCCCTCTTTTCTCTTTCCTCTTTCTTTTTAGGGTATGAATTCACGTGTCATCTTATGAATTTACTAAAATAATTTTGTTCGTTTTTAAAATGGAATGCAGAGCTTGTGCTTGTTAGTGCGTTAGGAGGATTTAGTGTATGTATGTTAGGCCCTTACTTAAGCTGGTCTATACCAGGAGGGGCAAATGGGGAAGAAAACATAGAATTAGGGGCCAACGAGCAAATTCTGAAAGTGGCTAAGGTGGCTGACGTGGCAAATTATGCTGGTTCATGGAGTATTTGGGGTATAAGGGTCTGTTAGGGAGAGTTTAGTCCGTACTATCATCTGCTTTGTGTGTGTGTGCTGCCGTAGGTGGCTGGGAGTGCCGGAGAGCTCAAAATCTCCGTTCTATCTTTACTGTGTCCAGTTTCTTTTAGTGTAATCAGTGTTTTGGCTGGTTCAATAAAACTCCGGGATTTCTGTCTCTTGATTGCTTGATTTTCTACTTGTTTGAGTGTGGAATCTGGTTGTTTGGCTGAGTATATTACCAGGTACCTAACAATATATGTCTCTTTTGCATGTGCTTCTAATATAACTCAAGTCACAACTTTGAAGTGCTGCTGCCACTAAGATAGCAAAAATATTTGGGAGATTTATTTTATCAAAACAGATTTAGTCAGTCAAAAGGTGCAAGATGGTGGAGATAGATTTTTATACTTTATAGTTTCATAAGTTGCAAGTTATTTGCTCAAGCCTCAAAAGTCACTTTTTCTACTTTAATAAAACGTCACTCTTCTGGTTGAGATTGAGCATTATCAGATGAAAGTGAGACACACGGCATCGAGATAATGTAGTTTCAACTTCTGACTTAGAATTATCTTGTTAAGCTAAACAATGATAAGCAAACAAGAGAGACCCAATTTCCTTCTTTTGAAGTTTTTCAAGTCTTAGGCTGTTTAAGCTTTTGCAGAGCTGCACATGAGGCGGGGGCTGCCACTACAATTGTAAATGTAGGCGAAACACGAGCGGATGATTTTGTGCCTTTGAAAATAAACGCTCGACTCGGAGAGGTATAGTTTCTTATGCAGCATGCTGATTCATAGCTACTAAAACTAAAATATAGTGTGTCGTAACACACTCTCTTGATTTTTTTTTTTTTGGCTTACAGATTTTACCGCGAGTGCTTCACTTTGGATCCCTCAGCATTCCTCATGTCCACTGAGAAAATGACTGTATTGTTCGTATCATGTAACATTGGATTCAAATAAACGTAATAATTTAAACATCTACTAAACATTCTTCAAATGTAATCTTAGTTAAGCTGTATTTGATTATTCAATGTTACGATTATATCTTGAGTTGTGTCGAAGATTATCGATTTCTTCTTTGATTAACGAGAACGGAATTTTGACTCTGTGTGAACAAGAAGAATAATAATTTTATTAGTGTATGCCAGCATTGAAAAGATCCGATTGCCCCCTTACTAAAGAGTCTATGTCATGATTTTTATAGTAGTTGATCTCTTAGTTTTTACTCATTTCCTAGATAATTTCAATTATATTGACTAGGTTTAAGCGAAATTTTCATTTTTTCTAATATATTGATTAGTACTTTATCTCTTAAATTATATTGATAATTTCTAATATATTGACAAATCACGTTAGACAATACTAAGTATACTGTTTGGAATTCTGCAGAACAGAGACATAGTAATGTAATTTTTCCTATTCTTTTTTTTTTTTCTGTCTTAATTTAGAACTCCAGTTTTGTTTTTAAACACCACAGTCGATGCATGGACAAAACCATTTGATTACATTTCACCATATAATTCAAAGCGCAGAAGTAACAAAAGCGCTCTTTCTGGGTTGATCTTGCTTGAGCAATGCTTCAAGCTCTTTAACAAATCTGTCCATAGCCGGGGCAGGCAAGCAAATTGGCACCACAACCCCTTTCTCCCCTGCCTTGTTCGTGAACGGAATGTAAAAGCTGGCCACTCCAGGTATGGCCCCCACCCCTCCCTTGGCGGAACCGCCATAGACCGGCTTCCCCCACCCCAAGTCCACCTCCCCGAACCCCGCGTGGGTTAAGTCCGACACCAGGTAAGACCTCACCACCGTGAAGTGAGGCCTACCTCTTATCGCCATCAAATCTGCCACTGACCTCATGTACTCCTCTGTCACCTCCGCCTTTGCCTTTTTCACTAGCTCGAGTGCATAGCCTAAAGGTTTAGCGCAAAGATTCCCCGCTGTTGCCACCGCCACAGGGAACGCAAAGCCGTTGCCGTAGTACCCCCGCGGTAGAGGTGGGTTAAATTTGTTACGTGCATTGACAATGCATATGATGCGCACCTCCTCGTCCGGCTCTGCCTGCTCAAATAATAAAAATATTCATATTTTAAAATTTAGGAATATTTTGACAAATATGTCAAAAATTTTGAGAAATATCGGAAAATTCCAGCATCATCATTTAAATAAAATTTTGATATCAGTATTCTTTCTTTCTTTCTTTCTTTTTTTTTAAATGTTAAGACTTCGTTTGGTATGAAGTTCAAATCAGGGTAATTTTAGTTTTGATTTTAAAACCAGAACCATGATTCATGATTTTGAGCAAACGATGGTTCTGAAAGCAGAATCAGAATCAGGGGTTTGAACCACTAAAAACTAAAAAAAGATGGTTTTAGAATCACGGGTGATTCATTGTTTAAAACATTATATCAAGATTCAAACCTTAAATCAGAACCATCTAAATCAAACATTGATTCTGAGTAAGTTAAATCAAAAACACTTTTAGGGCTTGTTTAGTTCGCTTATTCGAGTTTTTAGTTCAAGTTGAGATGTGACTTTATGTGAAAACTTTTTACCGTAGTAAAAAAGTTAGATGAGACTGTTTCTGAGAGCTTTTTACTGTAACAAAACTCGGATTCTAAACTCAAATCGGTGAAATAAATGAGATTTTACATTTTGTAAACAAATACTGATTTTGAACCAGAATCATGGTTCAGAACTCTTATACCCAATAATACCTAAAGTTAATAATATAAATATTTTCATCCTTACTTGTAAAGCTCGGGTGCGGCAGCGCCAGAGACAAGCGGTGAGGAGCTCGAAGGCGGAGGCAGGTCCCGGGATGAGGCGACGGATGGCAGAGGCCTCGGTGGGGCCGAAGAAGAAGGAGCGGTGTGCCATGTCGTCGAGGGGGATGATGGTGCCCTTGGTGTCCTCAACATGGTCGTATTCACGGTGAGCATAGCTCACACGCGGTGGGTGGCGGGCGTTGAGGATCTCCCTTCGCCACACGGGAGGGACGGACGGGACTGTGGCGCCACGTGCCATCTCTCCGACAGCCGTCATGAATTGGGTTAGTCCCGGAGCATCAGCCATGGTGTGGTTGAGACGGAATGCCCATATGAAGCCGCCACATTTGAGGCGTGTCACCTTGTAACCATAACATTAAAAATGCTTTTAGTTTTTGCTATTACTGAACATAGAGAGAGATGATAATGCTTATCAATTTGTATATTGTTGTTAATTAAATGTAACAGAATTAATATTGAATGGGGTGGGTGGGACATACAAAACCGGATCTATGTGGTACGCATTGTAATACAATTAAATAGAAATGAAACAATAAATAAATAGATACCAACCACATCTATATATTCACCGAGACATAAATCAAGCAAAAGGGTATTTCAGAAAAAATTCTAGTATTTCACTTTTTTTTTTCCCTTATAGAGAACTTCGCTCATCTAGAAATTAAGGGGAAAAAATTCATTAAAAATATCCTCCCTTAATTGAGGGGGAAAAAAAAAGAGTTGTTTGCATTTATATTCAATGTTCTTACAATGCTTTATTTAGGATATTTAAAAAAAAAAAAAATGACGAGCCATTTGAAAATAACATTGAAACTTCATTTTTTAAAATTTTTTTATAAGATACCACAGAAAGGCATTTATAATAATATGAACATGTACTACTTAGGCTACGTACCTGAAAATGCAACAATGGGCAGTTGAGGACACCCCCATATCCAGGGACGTCAAAAAGAAGCTCCTCCAAGCAAGGAAAGGGCGGCTGA